CTGTCGTCTGTTCACACTCTCTAAGTGTCAATAGAGTACTATATCTTCTTCAAGATTTTTTCTCGAGCAAATAGAAAGATGAAAAAAATAGTAGTAACCAAAACTCAAAAGAGATTCTTACATTTGAGTAACAATGTGAACCCTTCACACTCCACTTGCAAGAACTTTCCCTGAAACACTCTCTCACAAACACTCTTTCACTTGCTCTTGAAAAATAATGAAGAATAAAAACTTTTACGTCAGTTTCTAAGGACCTTTTATATGAAAGATATGAAAAACCATCTAGAAAATTGAAATTTATCATTTTAAGCGTGTACGATCGTACAATACGATCATATTTTTATATGTACGTCAGTTCAAAAATTGTTGTGTACGAACCTTATGCAAATATGTATGAAATATTTTTGTACACGATGATCGTCAAGTACGAACGGTTAGAAAAAAATTTAAATTCATTGGGACGAAAAGGTTTCCCACATTGTTGTACTCTGGACGTCGTCTGTATGAACGATGCATTATATAGTACAATCAGTTTAGAAAATCTTGGCGTTCATCGATACAAAAAGGGATATGTCCAATTCGTACTCTAAACATCATCTGTATAAATAAGGAATCGTACAGTACGATCAGTTCATAAAACTTTAGGATTTGTCGGGACGAAAAGGGACATATCTAATTCATATTATGGACATCGTCTGTACGAATAATGAATCGTACATTACGATCCATTTAGAAAAAGCTTTGAATTCATCGGGAGAAAAAGGGACCCATCCAATTCGTACTCTGTATGTCGTTTGTACGAACAATGAATCATATAGTAAGATCCATTTAGAAAAAGCTTTGAATTCGTCGGGACGTAAAGGGATACATCCAATTCATACTCTAGACATCGTCTGTATGAAGAGACCTTCATACAATATGATTAACACTTAAAAAAATTTCTAACTGTAGTTCGTTTAACTATATGTAGATGAAAATAACTAAATAAATTATCCTGTATGAAATGACTTCATACAGTACGATTAGTTTAAAATTACAAATTTTAAATACTCCTCCAGTGTGTGTGTGCACAGTTACTCAATTACAATCACACTCTCTCAGACTCAATAAAAAGAAAAGTACATACTTCAATTACAATAAAACCTAATCTAATCTGATTTGAAATCTTTAATAATCTAAGGTATGATTTCTCTGAAATATTAGTATACACAAACAACAAAAATAGTATATCCAAAATATGTTAGGAGAAATAGTGATTAAAATAATAATATTTGAAATCATAAAAAATATACATATTGCAAGAATATCAATAATAAAAAAACAAGGTTGTAATAATCTCAACAAAAGCCATTTCTGAAGAAGGCACGGGGGAATCATCATTATCTCTACTTGAAGCTCCATTCAACACCATTGTATTAACATAAAACAAATCCTTCTCAACAACATAGTGTGAAGCAACTGGTTGATATTCATCAATAGGAATTAAAGCCAATTTGTTAGCCATCTAATTAATAATTCTCTCACCATCCTTTTGAACAGAACAAGCCAAATCCATTAAAAGAGAAGCACACTGATTACCATAATTTAACACAACAAGATTAATTGAATATATACCATTCATATTAATATTAATACTATGATCCTTCTTCGGCACAAAACCAATAAAAGGAAGATTAAAAAGGTCATCAAAGCAAAAAATGATGGGCTAAGATGAATGCCCCGCATAAGCAACAATCAAAGGATGAAGAATAATCTCATTTTTCAAATGACCCACAAAACCAACATCCACATTATCATGCAATGATAAGTCAACATAAACAATGTCCTGAACATTATCATGCACATCATGAGAAAGCATATGATACGAAGTGCCATATGGAACCAAGGTCATGTAGGATACGAAGTGTAAAAAAATGTGGGTAGAGGTTCAGGAATGAAACCCAAATCGGATTAATGGGGATTCTTCAGAAATATCTATAAATGGTGACCACTTAGTCAATTTGATGAAACAGTTACTAACAAAGTATGAGAGGTGAGAAAAAAACTCTACAATAATCCATATCACTACACAATTTCATCAAAATATGTCGGGAATCCAATAAGGTGACCGAGAACTCATCGGATAATTTCAAGTTAAAAAAGAACTTTCTAACCGCATCCCAAGAAGGCCTACAATTAGGGAAATAGCCAATAACAGAAAAGGCAAACGGGGCGGCAAGAGCTAACTCTTCTTCCTTCAAAATCCAAAGAGAAGGCAACCCTAAAAAAGTAGAGGTTTTAAGGTCTGCAAATTGAACTTACGATGAAGCCCCCAACAGAGCATCAAAAAAAGATTGAGAGTTGGCTTTGCCATTCAAAAAATCAGGGTTATCCAAACTTACTTGATTAACCACCATTCACCAAGATGAAGGTGAAACAATCAAGAAGATCATGAGAACAACAATGCTAAGAAAAATCAAAACCACCAGAAGAGAAGAAAAAAAAAAACAACTATAAAGGGTGGAGAGCAACTAACCTGAACGAGAGAGAAGTCCGTCACGACTAGGAAGGGGTTGTTGGGATGAAAACCCTAGTAGCGCCAGTGCTAACCAAAAAACTTTGAAGAGGGGGGGGGGGGGGGGGGGGGGTGGTGTTGGGGGGGGGGTTGGTTATGTATCTGACTTTACCGGTTCCTTATATCATATAGCTCTCATATATTGATGATATCATTTCAGAAGAACTCTCCCCATCAATAGATAAATTACCCATATTCTTGATTAGATGAAAAATCATACTATTTTTGAAGACATTTGAATGACCAAAGAAGACTTGGATAAATTTTCCCTAGGTCTTATGTATACGTAAATGGAGTTATAAGTTTTAGCTCTATAGAGTAGAGTTGTTTCAGGTCTCTAGTGGAGTTTATGTAACACCTAGACAAAGGCCTAAGTCATAATCACAAATCAAAATATTACATCAAAATTTATATCTTTCATCATGAAAGCCTTGAATGACTTATAATCTTTTTAAAATCATTACAAAATAATTTTGAATCTTAATTTAAGATTTCTAGAAGGCTAGGTGGGCCATACTAGTAAATGAAGTAATTTTTTAAAAAAAATTACTTGATTTTATGACCACCCAACTTATCTTATTTGACCAATTTGCATTTTCATATTTTTGAAAGTTTTATCTTGTCTCTTATTATAATTTTTTATTAGGATAATTCATCCATCCTTATAATATCTTTTTTATTAGGTCCTAAGCCTTTCCAAAATTGCATAAGCTCAAAAAATGTCTATAAATATGATATTACTTTATGCTTTTGGATTCACCAAATAATAATTACTTTTTACTTTGTAAATTTCATAAGAAAAGGCTTGGAAATTGCTCTCCACTCCAATGAAGATTGATAGATGATCCTCTAGGCCTTTGATGGATGAAGCTATCTCTTCTCATGCTTATTCCTTCTTTTTTTCAACAAAATTCTCATGTTCTCTACAAAATCTCAATCCTAGGTTTCATCAACCCTTAAAAACATTCAATATCTTCATAACTCCCTCAAATATTCCTCTACGCCCCTCATAACCTCTCAAGACTTCAACACCCCAAGAACTCTAAGATACTCTAGCCAAAAAGCCTAATATAGATATATAATTTTCTTTTGTGAGCAACTATATTAAAAATATCAACACTTCTAAAACACTAATAAAAAAAATTAAAATATCAAAATTATTCTCTGACATCCCAAAATTTTGATCAAGAATTCCTTCCCTTTACATTTAATAACAAATTGCTCTCTGATAGCTTAAAAGTTTTAGTACCAAATATATCTAAACAATTAGTACCAATTTCGCCACCACCCAAATACACCTTTCACCCTCACCCTAAGAGGAGACTAATTAAGTTGTTACCTTCATCATAAAAATCCTATAGTCCATGCATTTGATAGCCTACATCTACATTGTTGGTGATAAAGGGCAACAAAAGTTAGTTAGAGATGGTAGTTAAGAAATGCTAGTTTGGAGACTAATAATGGGGGCTAGTTGTCATGGTATTGTACTAATAAAATGATGGTTATCAGTCAATTATAATCAAGAGAAGATAGTTAAGTGATAATAGTCGGGTGACAATGTAAGGATGAAATAGTTGCAAGCAGAGATCATTAACATCAAATGCTATGGGGCGCTCTAGGATTCAATCTCCAAGCTCTCTCTAATTTCAAGTTAAGGTATACAGTCCATTTCCCGCTAGAATATGAGTTTATTTTTAGTTTCTAGGGTGGCATTGTGGTTATTTTAGCGAAAATCTAAAAATATTCCATCAAAGGACACGAGTTGTTTCTTTTGATTATTGAGAAATATTTTAGTCTTTAAGTCACTTAATAATCTCAAAATTAAGTGATCTTGAGCTTATTAGAATTTTTTAATTAACGCTCTCATTTTAACTATAAGCATAAAATTTCAAGACTCATTTGATCCTCAATAAATGTCGTTAAACTATGCTTCAAATGCTTGATTAAAGTTTCGTTTGAGACGGCTTTCTTATTTGCTTCTTAAAGCAACTTTTTAGTATAAAAATTAAAAATTTGTATTAAAAAAAGGCTTTAAGAAGCAATAATAAGCCGTCCCGAACTAAGCTTAAGACTCTTCTAAACTTAGCTTAGATAACTTTTTGAGTTGTTAGGTTCATATCATTGAAACAATTATTTTTTCTATAAATTTACTTAAATCACAATTCAAAATTATGCTAAAATTAATTTCAAAAAGATTTGACTTAAATAATATAGATTTGTGCTTGATCCGATCAAACATCAATGAAATGAAATTTTTTTATGTGTAATTATTATTATTATTATTCTATTTTACTTTTTCTATTTTAACGTTTATTTTCGGTTGAGCAAATTTAATCATCGCGCAATAAAGCTTTACTCTACTTATCAAATCAGTTCCCATAATTAAGTCCAGTTATTAACTCAGCTCCCATAATTAAAGACATATAAATAGGAACAAACAGAGACAGAGTAGAAAGCAGATAGCAGCCAAAGGCGAGAGAGAGAGAGAGAGAGAGAGAGAGAGAGAGAGAGAGATGGAAAGGAACTGCTTCTCCCGGCGACCGGCGGTGTCAGAGGAGCGTAGAGGATCGGCGGCGCGGGGTAAGGACCGAGCTTTCAGAGGAGTAAGGATGAGAAAGTGGGGAAAGTGGGTGGCCGAGATAAGAGAACCCAACAAACGTTCAAGGATATGGCTAGGCTCCTACTCCTCTCCGGTCGCCGCTGCCAGGGCTTACGATACCGCTGTCTACCTCCTTAGAGGCCGCTCCGCACTCCTCAACTTTCCCGACGAACTCGCCGCCGACGAGTCCGGTGAAGCCAATACCGCTCTCTCAGCTGCTTCAATCAGAAAGAAAGCCGCCGAGGTTGGGGCTCGCGTCGATGCCCTCCAGCAGCAGAAGCAACAAGCGCCGCCGCTACCTCCACCACCACGCCCTCGTCCTGATCTCAACGAGCAGCCTAGCCCTGAAACTACAGAGGAAGAAGTAATCTCTTCTGCATAGTTTTTCTATTTTGGATCTTTTTTTAAGCTCAGATTTGAGCATAAGTGGATTCGGGGAAGGGAAGAAAAAAGCCGGCGAGAGGCGAGAGGCGAGAGGAGAGTGAAGAAGCGTCGCTATTGCTCGAGATAGCCGAAGTCGCTGTTGCTTGGCGCGCGCGGGCAGGTGACTGGCCGACCGACGCAAGTGGCGGTCCCTCCCTTTTCTTCTCTGCTTTCTCAGAGTTCTTTGTAAGGAAAAAAAAAGAAGGGAAAAGGTAAACGATCTTTAAGTGTCCGTTTGGTTTGAAGGATTTGAAGGTAACGGAGATCGAATTTTATTCAAAGTTTTATAAATTTTTCTATTTATTTTTATCATAATTAATCAGCAATTAGATTTATTAAAAAAAGTGGATAATTTTTTTTTAATTTTATTTTATCTTTTTCAATTAATAGAAATATCCAACATGGCACTTAAATAAATTAAAATAAAATGAAATGAATAATTTTATTGATCTCAACGAAATATTATGAATCATATCACCCTAAATTTTAATTTTAGTCAGGATAAAAAATGGGAATAAAAAAAATTTGAGGTATGTATTCTATATAATTTTCTTTAAATAGATTATCTTCTCCTATTAGTGTTTGTATAGTAAGATATGATGACAATTGAGTTGGACTATGCAACCTAATGTAAATATAATCACAATCTTCTATAGATTGGATTTTCTTTATATCGATGTTATTTTTTACGAGCTTACGATTTCATTTGGGACGGATTTCTTACTGTTTTTAAAAAGTAGATTTTTATTATAAAATTTCTAATAATAAATTTTTTTTACTATAAAGTTATTTTAAAAAGCAATTAAAAAGTTATCCCATAATAAAATCTAAAACTTTTTTTGGGACGACTTTTTTTATTGCTTCTTAAAAGAGAGTTTTAATTTTTTTTATTACTTCTTAAAAGTTAAAACAGAGTTTTAGTACAAAATTTTTACTAAAACTATGTTTTAAAAAGACAATAAAAAAAATCGTCCCAAACAAAGCTTAAGTCGATCCCTCTTACTATTTTTTATAATATTTTATGTCATTTGTAGTAATAGAATCTTGAACTTGCACCCTTTCGTCCTCTGCAATATTGAAGGCAACATTCTGAGCCTGTCTTAATTTCTTTAATGTGGAGTCTAATAACGAGATCTTTAATAAAAATTATGATTGCAATTTAAAAAATAAAACAGTAAAAAATTGCTCTAAAAGAAATTTTTATTTGACAAAAATATCTTCTGTTGACATCACTTGAAATTCAACCTATTGAATATTTTTGGTTCCTTATTATGGGAAAATTATTCTATGCGAATGCTGAATGCTGTTCGGAAATCATCCAGAATACGTCACGTTACCTCTTTGCTTGGTACCGCGGCTAGGTACTGCTCAGTACCGCTCAGTACCACTGACGTGACTGCACCTGTTTCACCTCCGAATATAGAGCTACATCCGACATCCGCTCATCATAATATCTCCTTAATTATTATGGCTCTCAATACAGCCAACATGTGCAACTGTGAGGTTAGGTTAGAAGCTTGAACTTGCTTTGACAGTTGAGGTGACATGTTTGTGTTCCCATAAGCTGGCATACCATCAAGGTTTATAATTTCAATAATTTCTGTTTGTAAACAACAAGCTTAGTACAAAGAACAAAATATTTTTAGAGATTAATTCATAAACTTTTCAATATGAGAAAAAAAGAACAAAATTATCTCTTTAGGAGGAAGAAATTGTTTAAGATATTGCAATTAGATAAAAAATGAAATTAATTGAATACAAGTTAATTAATGTAGAATAAAATCTTATAATACAAAAAAAGATTTACGCACTAAAGATAGAGAGAGTTTTGACGATCAACCAAAAGGATTTGAGTTCGAAACCTCTGTAAGTGATGTATGCGTATCTTAATTGCCATCTTTAATTCTAAGAAGTTAGAAATGAGAAAGAGAATATTGGAGAATTATTTAATTTTATTAAAAAAATTAGTCCATTATAACTTTTAAAGTTTAACAGTTTAAAGATCTGCTCTTCAAAAGGAAGAAGAAGAAGAAGAAGAAGAAGAAGAAGAAGAAGAAGAAGAAGAAGAAGAAGAAGAAGAAGAAGAAGAAGCTCTCTCTCTCTCTTCTTCTTCCCTCAGAAGTCTTTAAGTTACCGTTTGATTTCTCATATCCATATCAGTAGCGGACAGGCGAACGGTGTGAATGACAGAACAGAGACCATTAGATTGTTTGATTGGGTTCGTTAACAATTAAGTCAAAGGCGAAGGATTGAAAAGCTTTGTTTGTGCTTTGACTTATATGTCTCTGAGCCCATTAATTAATAGCCACAAATAATAAAACATTGCAACCAACACTTTTTTTTATTATTGATTTTAATAGCAGGATGTTTTTTTTATTTTATTTTCTTTTCAATCATAAAATTTAGAATAGTAAAATTTACATAATTTTAGTAGTTTGATATTTAAATTGAGAAATGTGTTTTAGGATATACTTATACAAATTGTATGAGAAAGGGCTTGAGATTCCATAGATTTAGACTTCGTTTGGGACGGTTTCTTTGTTGCTTCTTAAAGCAGTTTTTCAGTTCAAAAAATTTTAAAATTTTTTATATTAGAAAGTTGTTTTAGAAAGCAGTAAGAAAGCTGTCACAAATGAAGCCCTAGTTTCGTTTGTGACAGCCTTCTAAAATAGCTTTTTAGTTATATTTTTTTTTTCAAAAAATATTTATATTAAAAAATTTACTTTAGAAAACAGTAAGAAAGCTATTGTTGAAAATTTATTGGAGCATAGTAACCGTAAGAAAATTATTGCTACATTTTAAAAAAAAATTATTTATGATATTTATATAATCATTCTTATATAAAACTGCAACAATCAACCTAAGAATCTCAATCTGACCTATAAAAAGATTGTGATATATATGCCACAGTATTTACTGATTGCAAAACGATCAATCTTTTAACTTATGTTTTATTTGAGATAGCTTTCTTACTATTTTTTAAAACAACTTTCTAGTACAAAAATTTCTTGTTAAAAAATTTTGTATATTAAAAAGCTGTTTCATAGAATAATAAGAAAGCTGTCTCAAACGAAACTTTGACTCCTCGTTATCTCTACCCGAGTTACACTTATGTATCAGAGTCATCTTGTTGTTGTAGTTGTTGAACTTAATAATCTCAATAGTGACACTTCTCTCTTTCTTTAGATCATACTAATCAACAAGATTTGTTGAGGCCATTGGCTCACCTTCTCAACCTAAACTTTGAGGACCTTTGCTTCCACTTTCCAATGAAAAAAAAATGAAATTTTGACTGATTTTAATTTACATAATCTTTTTGAGAAACATTATGATCATTTTGACAGCACGAGTGGTTGTAACAATTAAAGCCAAAAACTTTGGAGCAAAAAAGCAACACTCAAACTAATAAAGACTGTGATGGATGAAATAAAATGAGAAACATCAATATGTTCTGAATCTGTCAGTCCTATATAGATTAAATGGCATTCAACATATATATTAAGGCTTCATTTGGGACGACTTTAGTATAATTTTTGTACTAAAAAGTTATTTTAAGAAGCAGTAAGAAAGCCGTCCCGAACGAAGCCTAATTTTCAGTTGTAATCTTTTAACATAAATGATTTGGGAACATAAACAACATCAATGACAGATGAAGTTTGCCAAAGCCTTTTGATGAACTTTAAATGGGCTCAACCTTGGTAATATGTTATTAGTTGATTTGGTTCTTGGTAGAATTCAATGGTAAATTTGTAACAACCGAAACTCTTAACTATCGAAATATTGTCTGTTTTGGCTTAAAGATCTCATAGTTTTGTCATGTTGGTATAACTTCTGATGACGTTATCCATCCTAGGATTTCTTCGGGATGAGCACACTTAACTGTGAAAGTTCTTAAATGAAATTCCAACCATTACATCAAGAAGAGCTTTGATGTTTAAGAATTTAGCTTCTTTACTTAAGAGGTTTTATAAAACCGCCCATGAGGCTAACTCCTCCATTTTGGTTTATTGTTCATAAAGCATGGCTTGAGCAGAGCTTGGGTGATGTTCCAAATTTATTAGGGGCTGTTCAAGATCAATTGCTATTTTTATTTCTTATTTCTTGTTTTTAAGAAAACTTTTTTGGGTTGTATTTCTCATTTTCCTTAAAAAAAAACACACTTTTTTTTTTGTAATAATGAAAATAATTTTAAGATGTTTTTTATTATTTTCACAATGAAAATCTTCCTAGATTTGATGCCGCCGGCAACCACCAGTGCCTACCGCCATCACCGCCAAACTCCTTCAGCTGCGGGTCACCTCCACTGTTGTTAGCAACGGGAGAGATAATTTGGGTACCTAGCGGTACCCGCACTCGGTACTGTTGGGTACCGCTAGGTAGTCAGTACTGCGAACGGTGCGCACTTCGCACCTAATAATTTTTCCAGCAACGGCCACCAACTGAGTCCATTACATTCACAACAAAGTAGACAAAGAATTCTCGTTTTTTGCTAGCAAGACATGACATTACTCTATATGTCTGGTTCTTACAGTCGAGTCTGTGTAATCACAAAATACTCCGTAGTCATATTGTGAGGAGAAGTCCAGAACATAGAAGAAACTAGAACAATATGGTTATTCTTTTTTTAAACTTATCAAAATCTCTAAATCTGAATACAAAAGTGGAGATATCACTCTATTTATAGAGTAAAGCTATCTCAAGGGTCCTTTGAAGGGAATTAATGAATTATTAAAGAAAACTAGAAATTATAATAAGAGAAAGAAATAACATATAACAATAGAGAGGAGGTGAGTTTGGTTGGCTCAGCCTCAAAGTGTCAAAATGGATATTCGGATCGAACTCGGAACTAACCCGCCTTAAACTAGTTCAACACGAACCCGACCCGATTAGACAAATGAGTCAGGAAATCAAGCACGAACCGAATATGCTAGGTTACTGGATCGACCCGACTCGATGCGCCAACCCGAGTTGCAAGTAGGAAGCAAGCTAGCGAGGCGAGGGTGCGGACGGTGCAGTCTTGGGGGCTAGCGTGGGTGTGTGTCTGCATGGTGTGTGATGCAAGCGGGCAAGGCGTTAGCTTGAATTGCGCTGTTCGAGCACCGGTGCTGAGTGAGAGAGAGGGTGCGGGGATTTGGGGTGTGAATTGAGAGCGCGAGCTGCCCGTGACTCGGGTGCTGGAAGCTTGGAAAGAATGTGTTGGCGCTGTGCGGTGCGGTTCGTGCGGATGCACACACAACGAAGCGAAAGCTATAAGGTTGCGGAAGGGGGTGGGCAATCATATATAACATGCCAATATTGGGTTATCGAGTTGACTCAGATCCAAACAGATTTTTCAAACCGGTAAAAAAATAAAACTCAAATCCGACCTGTTTGTTAAATGGCCCGATCCGAACAAGAATTTTTCAGATCGAGTTCAGATTGGGTTATCCAGTTGAGTCAATAATTAACTCTCATAATTGAACCGGTCCAAATAGATTCAGCCTATATAATTCTCCCCATCTAGAAGAGACTTCTGCATAAGCTGAAGTGGATGAAACTTTTGATGAGCTTATCTATTCGTGGATGTGCTAGAAAGTAGAAACCATATAAATTGGGACAACCTCAAGTTTCTACCAAATTTTTCGGCTGATCTTTTACAGGTTTGCATGAATAGGGACTGCGCCACCACTATAAGGTTGCGGACTTGCTCTTCCCTCTTCTGTGGCTGAATGCTCCGACAATGACCCGGTAACAACTCCTTGAAACCGAACGCATCCTTATCCTTCTTCTCCAATGATTGCATCTTCCCTGCACTGTGTGAATGTGGCATTTCCCTTTCAAGGTTGAATGTGGCACTTCCCTTTCAAGGTTCTCTAACAGTTCTTCATACGGAGGAGACGAAACACTTTCAGCAGCAAATCCCAAATACGCGAACACGTCAAGGTACCCAGTGTCACAAACTGTCTGCAACGGCCTATTAAGGAATCGGTTTTGCGAGTCTGTATTACACACATGCTGTAGAGACAAGTTATAAGCCTGTTTGCCATTACGTATGCGGTCGCAAACACTCTGTGTTAATCATGAAGTGTTCAATATGCACAGCATGACCTAAACCCTAAATCACGGTTGAGACAACGCAATTATGAAAAATCATCCACATTCTTAATTTAAGCGCGGCTGCTGTTGCAAACAATCATAAGAAATTAGAATACTTGGGCAAGGCTAATAATGATGGCATGATTTGCAAAGCTGTCTGAGCAGTTGGGATACTGCTACAGTCTATTGATATCTTATTAGTGGTTCAAATGATTTAGTCATAATTTTTCCTAACCAAATCCAATTACCTATGAATTATATTGAAACAAAGGACCAAATATAAAGATAGAAAGTAAAATGAATTCATATTTCCCAAATTCCTTCATATCAAGTAAGTCATAATTAATGCTTTAGTAGCTTAGATTCAAGCTTCGTTTGGGACGACTTTTTTATTGTTTCTTAAAAGAGCTTTCTAGTTTAAAATTTAAAATTTTTCTTCTAAAAAACGGCTTTAAGAAGTAGTAAGAAAGCCGTCCCAAACAAAGTGACACCGAACAGGAGGGGGCTCGACGAATCCACGTCGACGATCCGGTGACCGAGGCCGAGCAAGTCTCCAAGAACTCCTCGGAGAAAGAATCCACCACCTAAGATCACTCTCAGGATACATGAATCCAAAACAACAAGACAAAAGCCTTCATTTTCTTTATTCTCTAAAATCTGTCTCATCACAATTAATGACTATGTATTTATAGACAAATCATATCAACCTACTAGGATACACATAACAAAAAAAAAGCATTAAATATATGTAGCCATATAAGCTACCAAATGGAATGACACTATCCTGAAGTTAATACAATTAATGACTCAGTTCCGGTGTCATACTACCGGAGTAGGAGGAACTTCAGGCTCATAGGAAGATGTCCGGTTGACCACAAGAAGGAGGCGGGTTTGGTTGACTAAATCTTTATGGATATTTTTTATGTACAACTCAGCTGCATAAGGATGCGAACATCGACAAGAAGGAAATAAACCATAATCAAAGGAGGCGAAGGAGTTAATGTTGGGCTCATTCATGGTGGTCCAATAGGAAACCTTATCACCAAATTCTTTAAAGCATACATCAGCTAGTTATTTGAAATCATCAATGATTTTTGGGTTCAACCATCCTCCATACTAGTCTTGAAGCACATCCAGAGATGCATCCAACTTGCTCGCATCATCATCATATATGGGTTGATCAAGATCAAGAACTCCTATGGATATGTCGTCATTATACACGTCGTACACAGGCTCACCATAGATAGGCAGAGACGATGATTCCGACAATGGATCTTTAACCTCATGGAAGATTATCATCGGGGCTATGGAGAAAGGCTGATGTGCGGGCCCTTCAAATACTTCTTCGTAGGAAGAAGGAAGTTGATCGAAATTATGTAGGCCAAACTTGATTTCTCCATCATCTCGGGATCCTTATTTGGCTCTAATGAAAACTCGCCTTCTTCTATCCTTGTTTTTCAAAAAATCTTGGTAAAATAGATTAGTATCTTCTTCTTGACAGTCCGCTGCTTCCTGTTGTTCAACTTCGATTTGTTCTTGAGGTAGCTGTTTAATTTGGGCATATATGATTTCTTGTTATTGACTTCCAACCATGAACAAGGATTGCTATTGTTCTTTGTGGTTGCAATGGCATGGACAACAACAAGAAATGGTTGAGGTACTGTGGAGGAAAGCTCTTGCTTGGGGAGATCATTCGTAACATTGTCTATGGGCCGGTTTGATCGTGCAGGGGCACGATCAGCCAATGCCGCGTGCAGTGACGAATGAGGGCAACGGGGTCGCACGTGAAGGTGTGTGGGAGACGGACGCTCGCCAGTCATGTGTGTAGGCAGACTGACTCGGGGTGCCACACTAGTGAGACATGCGGGATTTGTTAGGCATGTGACATGCACAGAACATGCAGAAAGCGGGTTCGAGGCATCAGAATCGCAGAGCTTAACAGTCCGACTCGAAAAATTGGGATGTGGAATACGCATGGGGGTGATGTTTCTTGAATTACCATTTCCCATGGCTTTTATTTGCTCGAATCTTGTGAGACGTTGCTGTAGTAGCGCGTTCTCCTGCTGCACATCTTCAAGCACTTCTTGAATTGGTTGTTGGGGTCTTCACTGGGGCGGCATCTTGCCGACTCTAATACCAAATGACACCGAACCAGAGGGGGCTCGATGAATCCACGTCGATGATCCGGTGATCGAGGCCGAACAAGTCTCCAAGAACTCCTTGGAGAAAGAATCCATCACCTAAGACCACTCTCAGGATACAATAATGCAAAACAACAAGGCAAAAGCCTTCAATTTCTTTATTATTTAAAATCTGTCTCATTATAATTAATGACTATGTATTTATAGACAATCCATAGCAACCTACTAGGCTACACATAACAAAAGAAAGCACTAAATCTATGTAGCCAGATAAGCTACCAAATGGAATGGCACTATTCTGAAATTAATACAATTAACAGCTCAGCTTTGGCGTCACAAAGCCTCAGTGTAATATTAGGATGCTTTTGTACACATTGTATATGAAATCAAATTGTGAACGTGATAGGCTAACAGTGTGTTTCTCAGTGCTAGAGATTGAATATGACACTCTTGATAAGAGTGATAGAGCTTTCTTTTTCTGAAAGAACAGTTTGTTAAGGTTCTCTGACATGGAAAAATAATCATCATTGTAAATAGTTCTTCAACAAACTTTCATAGAAAAAACTTACAAATGAATGCATAATAAACAAGCTCTCATTGAAATCCAATGCTAGTGAAATAAAAGATTGATTAACATTATATAAGAAAGAACAGGATCAGTGCATGAAATTCTCATCAACATAGATGTGTTTTACTCGCACTACAGGGGGGATTCTTTTCATTACTCAAATACACATCCATCCTATGTTTTAGGCCTGTAAGTCTGGCTAAATTCAAGATAAGGACCTCTTACCTTTCAATAATGATTTACATGCCATGGATTTGTCTAATTGCTCATACCAAGGAGAGGCAATTCTTATTTTGAACGGGATTGATGCATAATTTTTTGGTTTATAACATATATAAGAGTGGTGATCAGACAGTAATTTCATAGTTGAATTGGTTAAATTAACTTGTTTGTCTAGTTTTGAACTCCTTGTATGTTGAAAGCAAATTCCTTTCATTTTTTTCTTTGTGTTATCTTATGTTCCTTTCAACTTAAGTTCTATCAACCACCAGTAGACATCTTGTTCCATGTAAAGAATATTTTGTAACATGTAGATAAATTTTCTCTTAGGATTTTCTTTTTCTTTTCAATAGCTCCAAAAAAATCAAAGTTGTAATATTATTATTAGCTGAAGTAGAGTATGCGGCTGTTGTTAACGTATTTCGCAAGTGAGCAGAACGCAAGCATGAGGCCACTACTTAGTGTCAGTGGTGACTAGGACTGAGTCTCTGTGATGGGCATAACTCCTTTTAGCATTCCATAACTTATTGCATTATATAAGCTATGTACTATTCATCTTTGAGAATATGAAGAATACACAGAAGTTCTCCTTCCTTACTTGATTCCTGCTTTTACCTTTTCCTGGTTTATACTTTCTGCTTCTTGCTTTTTCCTCTGTTACAGGTAAAGATGAAGACATTTTCATGGTATCAGAGTCGTGCTAAGCCTCACGTCTTTCTTTCTTCCAGCTAGGCCGGCAACTACTTTCCCTGCTATGGAATATGCAAATTCCTCTACAGCAAATAGCACAACCGAAGCTTCTCAAGTGCTCGGAAATGCTACAATACCTCCCCAATTGAAGTTCTTCATGTCTACCATTAAAAATATCATCACTGTCCAGTTAACTCCTGAAACTCATTTTACATGGAAGTCTGAAGAATTGAAAGTCTTCAGGCAAATGGATTTGAGGGATATTTAGATGGATCGGCTCGACGCCCACCCCGACAAATCACATCAGATACCGGTATTATTATCACTAATCCTTTGTTTTCTACTTGGATGTTAATAGACAAAAATCTTGATGCCGCATTATTTTCTACCATTTCTCCCCTATTACTTCCCTATGTTCTTAATCTGGAATCCTATACGGAAGTTTGGGAAACTATTGGCAAACGTCTTCAATCCACCAACCGGTCACGAATTATACAAATTAAAAATGATCTTCATCATGTTACTATGGCCAACAAAAATATGCTGCAATATTTTTCTAAGATTAAGATGAAGGTTGATATCCTGACTGCGAACGGTTGCTACATAGATCCTGAATATGTGATTTTATATACTCTCAATGGTTTGCTCGCCTCCTATAATGGTTTTAAAATGGCAATCTGAACAACTTGCAACCATTGAATCTAGATGATTTCTACTCTCTCTTATGTAGTGAAGAGACTAACTTAGAAAATGAAGCCAAGGATCTCCGCTCAGTACAGATCTCCAACAGCCCTCTTGCTCTTGCAGCAACTCGCGGTAGCGGTACCACTCGTGGCCAGTTCCATTTTTCTCGTGGTCACCATGGAAGAGGTGGACGCTCTCCAACTCGAGTTGAATGCCAAATTTGTGGCAAATTGGGCCACTCGATAGTTAAATGTTGCCATCGAACAAATCTGAACTACACTAGCAACTCTTCTTCCGCTTTAATTGCCGAGAATACTGATTCACTTTCTAATACATTCGAGTGGATTTTGGATACTAGAGCCACCTCACATCTCACCAATGATGCCAATCTGCTCTTGACTTCTCAACCATATCTTGGTTCACAACAAATTCAGGTTGGGAATGGTCAATCTTTACCAATTGTAAATACAAGTCAAGGCATTTTACCTATACCCACTCATAAGTTAACTCTTTCTCCTTTACTTAATGTACCGCAAGTATCTCATAATTTGCTGTTGGTTCATCAGCTACTCATTGATGATGGCTGCATTCTTTCCTTTAATCCTCATGGTTACCATCTTAAGGATCAGAGAACAAATCGTTTGATCCTTTCGTACGGACTTTACTCTGTTCCTTCCACAATAATGTCATCCTCCAAAGCTCTTCTTACAACCGCCGATCACTCTCAATTTTGGCATGCTCGTTTGGGTCATCCTCACTGAGCTGCTCTTTCAGCAGTCGCTGCCTTAACTCTAGATTTACATATTTCTACTTCAAATGATGTTTGTCATTCTTGTCAATTAGCAAAAAGCCATAGGTTACCATTCTCTCATTCTATGTCTACATGTACTTTTCCCTTTCAAGTCGTTGTGTCTGATGTATGGGGGCCGTCCCCATTCTTATCTTTCAATGGATACCATTATTATGTCTTATTTATGGATGAGTATTCTTGCTTTTCTTGAATTTATCCTATGATCACTAAAGCTGAAACATTTTCAAAATTTGTATTATTCAAAACTATGGTGGAAAAACAAATTTCAGCTAAATTTAAAATATTTCGCTCTGACGACTGTGGCGAATACTCAATCTTACAATTTAAAAATTTGCTATCATACAATGGTATCCTTCATCAATTTAGTTGTCCCTATACACCAGAACAAAACGGTCTTGCTGAATGTAAGCACCATCATATCATTGAGACCGCCCGCACCCTTCTTCTTCAGGCCTATCTTCCTATAACATTTTGGGCTGAAGCTGTTGTCACAACCATGTATTTAATAAATCGTCTTCCATCACCCACCACTAAATATTTCTCTCCCTATCATCTTCTCTACCAGCATGCCCCATCCTACTCTCATCTCAAAATCTTTGGATGTTTGTGTTATCCTTGGTTA